ATACTTTAAATACACCTCCACTGGTCCCATCAGTTAAAACGACATGGTGTGAGAATAGGCCGAAAACAAAAAATGCGGTTTATTATGTTGCTCAAAGAAGAACATTTTTAAGGGCAATGAGTTCTTCACCATACCGGAATCCCTTGAAGCAGTGAACACCCGCATAATATCCCTGCTGACCTCCGATGTTAAAACACGGAAATTAATTGAGGTCAGCAGGGGAAAGCATGCAAGACTCCTTGAAGACTTTGCATATCACGCCAACAGTGTTAGCCAGGAGAACAAATGCTCTATGGGATATTCTTCTACCTACGGAGCAGCAAGCGAAAGACTTGGCAGGAAGTGTGTTGAACACTAAAACTTTAAGACTATAGACGGAGTACATGGTCACACGTAGGACGAAAATTACAATCCATGAGGTGCCCGTGGATATCTGTGAGGTCAGGATGGGGGCCTTTTTCTCAAAATACGGCCAAGTAAACGAAGTGAAGGTCGTCATCAGCAAAGCCGGGATGGCTACTGGTGACATAGTGTTGCAAGTCACGGTAAATCGAAAAAGCTTAGGAGACATTCCAAATATATTGGTTTGCCGTGACAAGAGAATGTTGGTGGTGGTGGAGGGCCTGAGACCGTGTTGTTGGTCGTGTGGAGCTTCGAGGCCCATGGATAAGGGGTGCCCCGGTATACGTACACAATCTCCACCTCGTCTAGTACCGACGACAGCAACAACAGCAGCAGTAGTCACAGCACCAGCGGAGGAGAGGGTATCTACAAAGAACACCGATGCGGCCTGGAAGGAAGTCAAAAAGAGTCGGAAATTGACTAATGTGCCGTCTCCCGCAAAACAGGACTTATCCCAACCAAAGCGACGATCACCACCACCACAGGAGCGGTTTGAGAAGCAGAAGCAGAAACGAAAAGAGGTGCAGCACAAAGAAGCACCACAATAAAAACAGCTGCAACCAAAGCAGAATCAACCACAACAACAACAGCAATAACAACAGCAACAACAAAGAAAAAAGCAGCGAATGGACACACCAATGGAGGTGGACAAAATGCCTCCACCTCGGGCATCATCACTAAAGAGAAGCAGAGGGAAAAAGAGGAAGACGAGACATCACAAAGGCACTCTGGCCGTAGTAGGGAGGAGATGGTTATTGTTATACCAGAACATTACCTATTCTATTGTAATAGACTCTCCCACAGATAATAAGTAGTAGTAGCGGTTGCCAGTTGGGCTCAGTGGCGTCCCGCGGTTTTTGACTGCACACGCCTCCTGTCGACCTCTCTGCGTAAGCAGAGGAGGAACCAAACGAGGCTTTGCCGAAGGGCAAGGTTTCGTCCGGGGAGGTAGACAGGGCCTGAACCCGTTTAATCGGCTTCAAAAGGCTATATTTTTGGCCGAGCCTACGGGCTCGGGAAAACCCACATAAAAACCGGCCTTGTGCCATATTCTTTTCCGTGGGTGAGAAGATAAATACTCAGTGGTGTTTAGCGGTCTTTGACTGCACACGCCTCCTGTCGACCTCTGCGTAAGCAGAGAACCCGGACGAGGCTTTGCCGAAGGGCAAGGTTTCGTCCGGTGAGGTAGACAGGGCCTGAACCCGTTTAATCGGCTTCAAAAGGCTATATTTTTGGCCGAGCCTACGGGCTCGGGAAAACCCACATAAAAACCGGCCTTGTGCCATATTCTTTTCCGTGGGTGAGAAGATAAATACTCAGTGGTGTTTAGCGGTCTTTGACTGCACACGCCTCCTGTCGAACTCTCTGCGTAAGCAGAGAGGAACCCGGACGAAGCTTTGCCGAAGGGCAAGGTTTCGTCCGGGGAGGTGGACAGGGCCTGAACCCGTTTAATCGGCTTCAAAAGGCTATATTTTTGGCCGAGCCTACGGGCTCGGGAAAACCCACATAAAAACCGGCCTTGTGCCATATTCTTTTCCGTGGGTGAGAAGATAAATACTCAGTGGTGTTTAGCGGTCTTTGACTGCACACGCCTCCTGTCGAACTCTCTGCGTAAGCAGAGGAACCCGACGAGGCTTTGCCGAAGGGCAAGGTTTCGTCCGGGGAGGTAGAGGGCCTGAACCCGTTTAATCGGCTTCAAAAGGCTATATTTTTGGCCGAGCCTACGGGCTCGGGAAAACCCACATAAAAACCGGCCTTGTGCCATATTCTTTTCCGTGGGTGAGAAGATAAATACTCAGTGGTGTTTAGCGGTCTTTGACTGCGCACGCCTCCTGTCGAACTCTCTGCGTAAGCAGAGAGGAACCCGGACGAGGCTTTGCCGAAGGGCAAGGTTTCGTCCGGGGAGGTGGACAGGGCCTGAACCCGTTTAATCGGCTTCAAAAGGCTATTTTTTTGGCCGAGCCTACGGGCTCAGGGAAACCCACATTAAAACCGGCCTTGTGCCATATTCTTTTCCTGTGGGTGAAAAGATAAATACTCAGTGGTGTTGAGCGAGTCAGCCGATGTCGGACATTGAAGTATCAACCATCACAACTAGATTGCTGCGTCATTAACTCTTATTTCAAGTGGCTAACGTTTTGTACGTCGGACTTCTTTTTAGGACCGACTTAGCGAAATACAAGCCTCCACTGTGAAAACTACTCTGCAACAGTTATGGACAAAACCAAGTCACTCTTCGTCCCTGCTTCATCAAAAAAAAAAAAAAAAAAACCAAAGAAATTTTCTGGCCAAAAGCAAGGAGCCTCCCTGTTTCCCTTTCCCGTACCCCGTCCTCTTCTCCCGCCACCGCTTCGCTCAGTTCAATTTTCTCACCTCCTCACACGTCCACTTCTTCCCCTCCTCACCCCTCAAGAGAGAAAACGAAGAAGAAATCGTTCCTTGGCCCAGAGTCAATTTGTAAAGTGGACAAAGAAGATTACAGAAAGGGCCAGCAAAATCAAAATAAGGCGCACTTAGGACTTTTATTTAAGCTAGATACGGTGAACGGAATGTCGGTTGAGGACCCCCGAAATTTTCCTGATGCCCCTGAAGTGTTCGTCTATGTGAGAGACACTGGGGGATACCTTCAAATTTGGAGCCACCTGTTCGAAGCAAAAGAGGTAAACCCAAACATATGAATGTTTGAACTGGACAATGCCGATTTGAAGAAACTTAGACATTTTTGTGCAGGGAGGGCCCCTGTTTTGTTCCATCCTTCCTTATATAGGGTGGTTAAACTAACGTACCCTACGGAGGTTGGCGGTATTGTCATACATGGTCGGATGACGCGGGTGTTGGGTACAGGGAGCCTGGGACATTCCGCCGGGGTCCTTTCTTCCTCAGATTTCTGTGAGTAGTATGTGAGTAGGTTAATTCTTACTTTTCTAATTTTCAGGCTTAAAAAATGTAAATATACTTTATAGACACTGTAGACATTGTTCTACCCACTAACTCTGTCACAGCTACAATTAAAAAGTGTGTGTGTGTGTGTGTGTGTGTATAGAGACACGGTGGTGAAGCGGATTGAGGAATAGGAATGCCGTGTTCGAATTCTAGTTGAGTTCAATGCATTCATTTACGTACTTGGGAAAAGGCATGAAACCATATGTTCTTCCCTTGAGCTTTGGGTAAATATCAGGATAGATGGGGGTCCTATAGACTAGGGTGGCAACCGGTCTAGGAGAAGGAGAACTCTTATTTCAAAATGCGCCGTCGGTAATGAGGTTGGAGAAGAAATGGGCGCCGCCAAACTATCTGAAAGGATCACGAGGAAGAAGAATCAGTTTTCTGCCCTTATGCTTCAAACCCGACGACTGAAAACAGTTGAGGGACTGATGATCATCATCATGATCAGATGTACATACATACATATATATATATATATATATATTTTAAGACATTTTTATGTTTATACATTCTTTTTATAAATACAAATATTTAAGTAAATGCTCTGTTTAAAATAAACAGTTTTAAACATTTACCGACCTGAATGTCCGAGAAATTTTCACAGAAAAGATTCGAACCTGTATCCTATATGGAACCGACATTTAGCTTGAAGTGTCTTTACCGATTTGGCCACAGAGGCCCGTTCGGTTAGCAAGGTCGAATTTACTGTATTTGAACTTCAATCTTCTATAACATAGAACATATATATAACGTATAACATATATATAACATATTCTATAACATATATATATATATATATATATATATATATATATATATATATATATATATATATATATATCAAGCACTATAATTATATAAAATGTTGTTCTTAAAATACTGTCTTCCTTAAATACCCTAGCTGAATCTTTGTTATATATATATATATATATAACAAAGATTCGTCAAGGATAGAGAGAGAGAGAGAGAGAGAGAGTCTATAAAACAAAAATGTTAAATTCTCTCGCAGTGATCCTCTAGCCTACCCTCATATAGATCTCATTAAATACCCACTTGGTCTGAAAGGTGTTTTTGCCTTGTTCGCGTACCTTGGAGTCTCGAGAAAAGTGCTCAGACTCATGTGTTAATAGAAGTACAAGGTGATTGAAAAGTAACTCCCCATTTTATGTATGATGGACTCTCCCGCCTAACTATATCTTTTACTAGATGGTAGAATCTATCATACATAAAGTAGGAAGTTCCTTTTCAATCACCCTGTAATTAGATTCACCTATCACCCAGTACACATCCTTTCCACGCCTGCTGATCAGGAGTAGAGTCTTATTTACGGGACCAACATCCACTTTAAGAAGTGGATGCTGGTCCGTCTTCCACGTTTTTAATGAAAGTCTTAACTTTTTGTCAACCTATTGCAGGTTATTTAAAGCCAGAAGGTCTTTTTAGATTGTAAGAATTCATTATTTCGAGATAATGACAGCGATACAAGTCTTCTTTATTAACCCATAGCTTGTGGTAGAGGTGATGGATTCATACCTTTCCCAAGGCCATTTTCGTGTAAGTGAATATAACGAACCCATCGGGAATTGGAACTCAGCTCGCCGATTAAAAATTCCAAGCCATTATCGATTACACCCGCCACATATCCACACTTATAGCATCTGGTATTCCCAAGCGGTCACCCATCTCTAAGCTCGACGTTGCTTAACTTCGGTCATCATAAGGGAACCGGTGTTTCAATGCGGTGTGGCCGTAAGCATTTCTAATATTGCTAATATTGGAGCCAAAAACGAAAATAAAAGCACATAAAAGACATAATTAGTGGACAGGTTAAAAATATTAAATGATCACCCTGAAGGCTCGTCTAAGCTGGACAATCCCCGGTGACCTTTCTCTTCATTATGTGCCGACCGATCTAAACGGAGCTCAGCATCGCTTTGGCGCTCTTTTGGCAAGCCCGTCGACCCTAATTAGCGCAGGCCTGAGCGCTGGCAATTGGCGGGAGAAGGAGAAGGCAAAAGTGGGGTTAATGAACTGGTTTTATTCTATATTATGGGATATGCACTCTAATTGGAATGAAGAGAATAGGTTGTCAGTTCCGCCGGGGGACAGAATAAGAGGAAGAGACGCGTAGTTATACGTATATAAAAACACTGAGGGATGGATATGAATCGGTAGATATATAAGGTTTTGTGCAAAAATTCCCAGCGCTGTCTATTCTCAAAATTAGGAATTAATACACAGCTGAAAACATTTCACCTTAAGCAAGGCAATAAATACACTAAGACACAAGTGGTTGCAGGACGTGAAAGAGAATGAAAATCTTTTAATTACTAGAAAGGACAATAAAAGAACAGGTTTCAGGAATACAGATGGTGAATAACGTTGCCTTTAAAATTTTTGCAAGATTGTAAATAGTAGAGAAGTAAAAAAATAGCAAGAGTATTCCACAGGTGAGAAGTGCGAGAAAAGAAGCTATTTGAATAGAACTTACAATTGCACCTAACTATTTCCACAATAAAATGGTGAGATTTAATAGCCAGTTTAGCAGTACGCTTAAATTCAGACGGAGAATTCATTAGAACTGCCATGAAAATATTTATAGAAGAGGCAGAAGGAAACTACGCAACAGCGGTGGAAAGACACTGAAGTCGAGATGCCAGTTCATGACCGATAATATTGCAGACTCTTCTTTTAAATTTGTCGAGAATCTCGTGGTATATAGCAAGAACACCAGACAAGATATGCCAGAATTATTCAATGCACGGACGAATGTTTGATTTATAAATGTACAAGATGGATTGTGACTAGAAAAATTGTTTGGCATGACAAATTTTTAGCAGTAGAGCGAGCAATTGTTTCTACAGCGTGTGGTAGATAAATTGACCTCTAAATTACGCAAAAAGGAAAAATAACACTGACATCTCAAATTAATAGATATATTTACCGAAATTGCATTAAGATATCTTAAAATACTAAGGAATAAATTTATTCAGGAAAATCGCTATTAACTTCAACCACGAACTCCAGACGACTTCGGAATCTCCTGCAACTCTTCTGGGCGGTCTCCATGTTTAAGCTGGTGAAGGCTACCATAATACTTGTCCTCAGTTCATCATTGGTGTTACAAGCAGTTTTGTTGGGATCTCGTTCAACTGCGCCCCACACCTAATAATCAAGGGGTTTGCAGTCTGCAAAGTTAGGTAGCCAGATGTAAGTGGGTGATGTGATTGCAGAAATTTGTCTGACAGCTATGACAGTTTTCTCCTACCTTTGTGTCATGGTGCAGAGTCTTATTGCCAGACATACGTTCTTCCAGCAGCCACCCTCTTGACCCAGGGCAGCACTACATCGTCAAGTCACTTGATATAGGTCTCGATATTAATTCTGGGGCCCTTTGGTTATGCCTCAATTCATCTTCGAATAGAGGCATAACTTTGCCATCACTAATGATCACTCCAAAGACTTTCGTAATAACCATTAGGCTCATTCAACTCTTTCCGAATCCTCTGCGCTGAGCACAGATTGACACCCAAACACTCTGAAATGGTTGTATTGGAGCTTCCGGAGCAAATGCCAATCAGGGCAATATGCCGTTTACAAATTTCTGGTGCTGTGAATTACGTCATGGTGTTCTTTTCCCCTCATACGGTGTCAAAACTGACCCGACTATACAGTTCAGTCGAAAAACAAAAAAGTCAAACGTACATGCAGGAAATGAGAAATATAAAATGGCGACAATTTACACATTCCAAACTGTATTTATACATGTTTCCCATGTCATATTCGACGTATGAGGGCCTCAGCTCAGTTCCAGACACCAGCACACATGATTTGATGATAGTGGTGAAAGCTTTGTGCAGAACCAACCACACTTTTTGAAAGGCCGCAGGTTTTTGAATTCAGAGTTTTCCTTCTCTTAGACAAGTTGCCACCCAAGGCTATAGAGTCCAGTTTGTCCTGCTGTTTATCCATAATTGAAAGGAGAAGACGAGGATTCATACCTTTCTCAAGGTTATTAGCACGTAAGTGAATGTAATGGATTCGACTGGAATTCGAACTCGGCTCTCTGATTCCAATGTATGTGTGTGTGTGTGTAATGAATGAGTGAGTGTGTGTGAGAGAGAGTGAGAGAGCGAGATAAAGAGAGAGAGAAAGAGAGAGAGAAAAGGAACAGATGTGATGACTGCATGAATGATAGTTAGGTAATTGATGAATGCATTGACCAGAAGATAAAAAAATATGATTAAACGAATAACTAAGTAGTATTTTTAGCAAACCAATCACAAACAACATGAATAGAGATTGACCGCACTGAAAATGTTCCATGGGATTTAAAAGCCAAATTGTGATCGTACTATTTAAGTTTTGCTGAGTTTGGCATAAGGACACATGCATGGGTCACCCATCGGAGATACATCTCACTGCATAACTGTTATTATTATTGTTCAAATCTAAAAAAAAAAAACTTCTGTTCGTATGTTCATCTATGGTATGCCTAGTAAGACCGTTTTCCTATCTACGTCGTCTCACATTTGCAAGTGATTAGACAATAAACGGATAATGTCAGATATATATTATTCATATTTTGTCACTTGGGCTGTAGCACTTAGTCGTTATCAATCGCGGTTGTCTACCAATCAAAACAAAATGCTACTCGCCGTTTGCGTAAACTGTAATAACACTTTCTCATAAATGGCCTTGATGAAGACATGGCTCCATCTGTTCTCTCCCACCCCACACACCTAGATACTGAATACCCCGAAAACGGGGCTCTTTAGCCTTGTGAGGTGGCGGTAGACAAGGAGAAGGAAAACTTTGAATTCAGAATCGTGGAGAAGGCAAAGAGAAAGCACTCCATGATCTTTCCAATGACGTTGCAATTAACAGATGTGAAAATGAAATAAAAATCGATAGGTGATCACCAACATGTTGAAGAAACATTGTACTAAAACTGGTATGAATAATTTTATTTACTAAGATGTAGCCTTCAAAATTAATTACAAAACAAATTCTCACTTAAAAGAGAATATAATAAAGAAACAATATAATAAAGAAACAATATGCCTTGTTTTATTGCACAACGGGAAAATGTTAAGGTTGTTCCAATAACTTGGACTGATTTTAAATGTGAATTAAGTTTAAGCGTCTAATGATTTCTTTTCTTGTTTTTACAGATTTAACATCTTAAGTATTTGGCTCTTTCAACCATGGAAAGATTAACAATCAAACAACGTGATAAAGTTATCGATTACTATTACAAAAATGGACATTCAAATTTATAAAATACGACACAATGATTCCGCTAGCAAACAATGCACACCAAACAATGACCTTTTGCGGATGCAGTGGCTTTTCCAACAGTCTTCCTTGGATGTTCATCTGCCCAAATGCGACAATTCTGCTTATTAACGAATCCACCATCTTGGAAATGGGCTACATCACTAAAGAAGATTTCCTGCGAAAAATCTTCATCGTTTTGTCTTTGCTCGTGTACCCAATTGACAAATGCATGGCACTCCAAATGGTCAGCAGGTTTCAGTTCTTGTGTCAATTAATTTTTTGTATTTTTAATATTAAACTTATTGAAAAAAAATAAAACATATTTATCGATTGTTCCACCGTTTTCTTCATCTTTTAGGCGACTTCATCAGTTCATGTTTTTCAAAACATTTTTTATTTTTTTAAAGAAAAACTGCAGTTGGTGCCTTTTGTTGTGTTACATAGATTTTTTAAAATTTTAACGTTAGGAGAATTATATAAAGCCAGTAATAAAAGGATAATCCTTAAGTGCAATATCTATCTGAATTTTATTACCAAACCGAGACAAATTTTTGCCTGGTCTGATAAATATTTGATCAAGCGATACACCAATAGAATATTGCGGTCGTCTAATGACAAAAGCTCTTCGCCATTTTCAGTAGTCGTTACGTAAATGCCGCGTAACGTGTGATGAACGACTTCTATGAGTGTTTTATGTGTGTTAGACATCTTTGATGATTCTTTTAAAGCCTATCACTATTCAGGCAGACGCGACCAAACGCATTACAGGTGAGATCGAAATGTATAGCAACATTTTAAATAAAGTTAACGTAAAAGTCTTTAAGAGTATCTATTTTGATATATATATATATATATATATATATATATATACGCGCAGCACAATTCTTTTTTCATGGTTTCTCTCACTTTTGCGCAAAGCTTTCCTCCTCCAGGACGAATGAATAAGAGCCAGGCTTTCTCAGTCATTTTGCAATATGTAAATCTCCCTCTCACTCATTCCTACCCTCTCTACTCCCTTCACACAGAGACAGATATACACCCAAAACACACAGACACAAACACACGCACATATATATATATATCTATATACAAAATACTAACATATGTACAAATTATTGTTGTTCATTAACACACATATACGCACACACGCAAATTATATATATATATATATATATATATATATATATATTAGGTTGGTGCAACGATACGCCAATGCAATCGTGTAGCGATTTTGACATTGTTTTCGATGTAATCTCCTAATATATATATATATATATATATATATATATATTATCTATCAATAACAATATTTGGGTAAAATGTATGATTACGTGTAAAAAGTTTTCGTTGACGGGTTAGTCTGGGCTAAATGTGTTTATATTGTTGCGACTACACTATATAATATTTTATTTTATTTCATTTTATTTTTAGATTATAAATTATATTTTTTTATTATATAAAAAAAAAAAATTA